ATAAAGAAAGCTGACCGCCGAAGAATTGATGCCTTTGAATTGTGGTGCTGGAGGAGGCTCTTGAGAGTCCCCTGGACTGCAAGGAGAACAAACCTATCAATTCTAAAGGAAATCAACCCCGAGTGCTCACTGGAAGGACAGATCCTGAAGCTGAGGCTCCAATACTTTGGCCATCTCATGAGAAGAGAGGACTCCCTGGAAAAGACCTTAATGTTGGGAAAGTGTGAAGGCAAGAGGAGCAGGGGACAACAGAGGACGAGATGGATGGATAGCGTCATCGAAGCAACCAACATGAATTTGACCCAACTCCGGGAGGCAGTGGAAGATAGGAGGGCCTGGTGTGCTCTGGTCCATGGGGTCACAAAGAGTCGGACACGACTAATCGACGACTGCAGAGTGCATTTTTTAAAACAAAGAGCCATAATAGTAGAGTAACTTCTCATGTTTAATTTATTTCCTTTTGAGATTAATGAATGGCAGAAAATGCTACGAGATGTTTATTCACCAGAAGTGGTTTTTTGGGGGGGTATTTTCTTCTTTTAAAATGCACATGCAGAAAATGTCTATGGAATACGGATCATTGGCTGCTGCTTCACATATATGTAGAAAAATATTGTAACCCATGTCAGGAAACAGCAAAGAAAGTCCTCTTGCATAGCTGCATGGGCATACCAGTGGTGGCTGCAGTAGTGCCAAGACAGAGATGCTATCCATAAAGCACTTTGAACAGTGCTTTGCACAATGCTCAGTTATGCAGTACCGTGTTAGCGGGGTGTAAATTTATATTAAGCCTACAGAAACAGGATTTTGCCCATAGTATGAGCCATAAATAGCTAATATGTAGATAAGTGACAGCAGAACTCTCAAGTCATATTGGCATTTTAACATAATGTTTAGTCTTTCAAACTGAGAAAGCCAACTGTGCGTGGAAAAAAGAAGAGTAGAGTAATTAGACTGTTGTATGGTGAGAAAACAGTATTACAACCAGTGGAGAAATGTATGTAGAATGTATTATTTATATCATTTTTGTATTTCACTTACATTCTGCCTTTCTTCCAGTGAGTTCAAAATGGCTCACATGACTGCCCTCGTCCCACTTAATCTTTATAATAAACCATTGGTAGGCTGACAGTGAGTATGACACCACAAGCTCATCCAGGGGACTGCCCTCGTCCCACTTAATCTTTATAACAAACCATTGGTAGGCTGACAGAGTATGACACCACAAGCTCATCCAGGGATTTCTATGTCTGAGTGGGGATTTGAACCCAAGTCTCACTCTATGGACTCGCTCTGTGAGAACCTTCAAGGAAGTTCCCATGCAGCACTGACTTCATTGTGATGTAGTATTTTCCCTCCCACTTTTTCTATATATCCTCTTTTCATCTGATTTTTGTTGTCTGTATAATGTGGAGATTCCTGTGTATAAAATTGTTAATAGTATTCTCTGATATTACAGAGGGAAATGTTTTTTGAAAGTATTTGATTGTCCCATTAATTTTTGTGACAATTGTTGACCATCCTCTGCTTCCTAGATCTCTTTATTTAAGAGGGTCAGTGTGCTGCAATAGTCAGTACTATGCCGATTAGAGCATTTAACTGGAATCAGGGAGATCCAGATTGAAGGCATCACTGAACCGTAACATTGACTTGTTGACTTTGGACCAGGCCTTTTCTCACAGGCTGACCCACAGAGTGGTTGTGAGAATAGAATGTGTAGAAGCAGAGACATGTATATCACCTGGAGCTCACGGGATGAAATTCATGTCATTTGTAAATATGCAAATTCATGAATAAAATCTTTATTTTAAAATAATTGTCAGTAACCCTTTTCTCTCTGTTCTCTCTTTCCTTTGCCATTCTTAGGACTTAGTTCTTCGTAGTGGTCTCTGTGAATGCACGCAAATGGGTTAATCCTGCACCTGCGCAGGACGTCCGGAAGATTCTAGAGCTTTGAAAAAGAAACAGTTTAGTTCCCCCCCCCGCATGGTATAAGCTCTGCCCCCTCAACCTTCCTTTCAGTTCCTCTTTTTCCACCGTTCTAGTAGGACTTTAGGAAGAGCAGAGTGAATCTGTTGCTAAGTATTCTAGGCTAGCTAGTTAATTTTCTCTCCTTTTTACTTTATTTTGATTCTTATTCGACAGAACTTGCTTTTTGTTTCATTTTGTCGTCATTCTGTTGTCCCCTCCAACCAACGGATTCCCCTCCTGTTTTATGGCCCCTCGGGGCTACAAGCAGTGTGCCGTTTGCTCCCGCAAAATTCCTTTGTCAGACAGCCATAATAAATGCTTGTTTTGTTTGGGTGAATCCCACCTCGATCAGACTTGCATTGCCTGCAGGGTTTTTTCTAAACAAGCCATTAAGCTCAGGCGCCAACGCCTTCGGTCTTTCCTCTACGAAAAGACTCTTCTTCCTGCTATGGAGGTTCCTTCCCTCCCTTCACCAACTCCTCCGCGCTTGGAGGTCTCTAAATCTGCGCCTTCCCCTGCCGAACAGTCGTCTCTTACCATCTCCTTGCCTGTAAAGTCCAAGGAAGCTTCTAAACCTCCTAAAGCCAAGGCGCCTTCTTGTCCCGCCATTTCTACAAAAAAGAAAATCAGTGACAAGCCTAAGAAACCAAAGAAGCCATCTAAACACTCTACCTCCTCCCGCTCCTTCGATATTGCTCGAGGAATCTTCGAGGGAAGGCATTGAACTCTCTGATACTGAGGAGCACATTCTTCCAGCCCACACGGCTCAGGACATTATGTGCATGTCTCCAAACTCGGGCTGTTTCAAGGCTGTGCCAGTTGCCAGCCAGGCCATTGCCCCATCTAGCCCTCGATATTCAGGGCGGGCTGATACTGAGTCGCCATCGGAACAGGAGTCTGTCCACGACACTCCTAGAAAACGGGCGGAAAAGCGTAGTCATACCATTCTGTACCAATCACAAGATGCAGGAGATGGGTACCGTCAACAGGGTCCGCCACAGTTTGGCCACCCTTTCCACGCTTCATACCAGTCATACCCATACCAGGGTTATGCTTACCCACTCGACTATCAGAGCACTACCTTTCATCAACTGGTGTGGCACCATACTGTAGCCCCACCAATGGAACCTCATCCACAAACTCAAGTGGACCTTTCTACACCGCAGGCACCTTCACGTAAGAGGCGAGCTCCTACAGTATCTACAGCACCTCCTAAACACGCCAAGTACAGCAGCCGCCACTCCTTGGTTCAGGCTGCTACTCTCTACTCTGGTCCCGGCGGCAATGATACTGAGCCTTTTCCCCCATCTACTCAGTCTGACATGCACATTGTACTAGGGGATACGGTACCACGACGCTCCCCTTCAATCGCCTCTCAGTCCTTCCACGATGACCACTCTTCAGCCTCCAGTGACTTTGACATTCCTGATACCGGTGGTTAGGGTTCATCATCTCAACCCTCCTTGGAGGACTTCTCACCTTACGCACAATTGATCATGTGTATGGCAAAAACCCTCCAGTTAGACGCACAGATCCCACAACAGGAATGGGACTTAGTCTTTCACGACATGGAGCAGGACAAAGCCTCCCCTCCTAGTCTAAGCCTTATACCAGCTTTCTTTGACCTGGTTCAAAACCTCCTGGGATAAGTCACCTGTGGCTGTCCAAGTCCCTTGCAAGATCAAGCATCATTATAAAACACATGGATCGGACTATTCCTCACCAAACACCCTTCACCCAACTCCATAGTGGTCGAAGCTACCCAATATAAGCTGCGTACTTGATCATCTGTTACGCCCATCGACAAAGAAGGAAAAAGACCGATACCTTAGGCAAAAAACTCTATTCTTTCTATGCCTTACTAATTAAAATAGCCAACTACCAAGCGGCTATGGGCGCTTACCAGAAACATCTTTGGGATAAAATACTCCCGATGTTACAAACTCTACCTGATCCTTCCAAAACTGAGGCTCTCAACGTCTACAAAGAGGCTAATACCCTCACTAGGCAACAGAGGTTTGCTGCAAAAAACACAGCAGACATGGCCTCCAAGTCTATGTTAACTGCAATAGCTGTTAGACACCACGCGTGGCTTAGAACAGTTAACATCCTCGAAGACACTAAAACTAAAATAGAAGATCTTCCCTTTGATGCTATTGGACTTTTTAACTCCAAAACTGACGAGATCATGGAGAACATTCACAAAATGAGGAAGACAGCGAAATCTTACGTACCATACCAGCCATATCGGTACCACAAACCAGCCTACAAAAAGCCTATGTATCAATCCTCTACTTGGTACCAACTTTTTTGGTACAATAAGCAGCAGCAGGACTGGACCTATCAGTCTCAACAGTCTACCACTCTGCTGTTTAAGCAACAACGCTTTCGCAGCCCCAAGCAGTCCTTTCGTAAGACTAAGCATAGGGGTAAGCAATTCTCCTAATTTTTCATTTACCACCAGACTGCTGCCATTCCTTTCCGAATGGCGCAACATCACCACCGACAAGTGGGTTCTTAACATCATTGAGAAAGGCTATCTGATAGAATTCTTGTGAAACCCTTTACCAAATTCAGTTAAAACTACTCCATTTTCAATGCCGTTGCATCTGGAAATCTTGTCTTTACTTTCCAAAAGGGCTATAACCAGAGTACCATCCTCTGACATCAGCAAGGGCTTCTTCTCTCGCTATTTTGCAGTCCCCAAAAAAGGCTGTGGTATCAGACCCATCATGGACCTTGGGGACCTTAATCATTACATACTATATAAGAAGTTCCGTATGTTGACTCTTGACTCCATTCTCCCTCTTCTGTCTCAGGGAAACTGGTTCGTCACCATCGACTTGCGGGACGCCTATTTCCACATTTCCATCCATCCATCTCATCAAAAATTTCTTGGTTCCGGTTTCATCATGACACCTTCCAATTCACTGCTCTCCCATTCGGGCTTTCCACAGCCCCCAGGATATTCACAAAATGCATGACCCCAGTTGTGGCATACCTTCGTACCAGAGGGATAAAAATCTTTCCCTATATCGACGATTGGCTCCTAGTGGCAAAATCCTATCAAGATGCCGTCTCCGCCGCAAATCTCACCCTCTGTATTCTAAACAGACTCGGGTTGAAGATCAACAGGAAAAAAATTGCACCTTCCTGGATTGTCTCCTACATAGGAGCAATTCTGGACTCTATTCACACAAAAGCCTTCTTGCCACCTCAGAGAATCCTCACGATCCAGGCGGCGGTCCACAGATTTACTTCGTTCGCAACTATGACTGCGTACGGTACTCAGCACCTCTTAGTTCTGATGGCGTCCACCACTTCAGTGGTACTTCACGCAAGACTCAAGCTCCGGTCATTTCAGTCTTGGTTCCTCACCCAGTACGATCCCATGACAGATCCTCCTACATAAAAGCTACGGGTCCCTCCACAAGTGGCACACCATCTCGTCTGGTGGACTATTCTCAGCAACCTGTCGATGGGGAGGCTATTTCACCTTATTTGTTCATCCAGGTTATCATGGATGCCAGCCCCTCAGGCTGGGGGGGCTCATTGTCAAGAGCTGCAAGTCCACGGTTTGTGGATGGAACGTCAAAAGGCCCTTCACATAAATCAGCTAGAGTTGCTGGTCATCATAAAAGCCTTCCAAGCCTTCCTGCCACGTATCAAAGGACGGGCAGTACAGCTGGTAATGGACAATACCACAGTAATGTATTACATAAACAGGCAGGGCGGAATTCGATCCCTGCCCCTCCTTCGCTTGACCATACATTTCTGGGGATGGTGCCGTACTCAGCACATTTTCCTCCAAGCGATCCACATTTCATCACGAGACAATTCCCTGATGGACCGCCTAAGCAGGCTACCCACCAGGATGCACAAGTGGGCTGCCGACCATGCAGTTTTCATGGACATCTGCTGACGATGGAGACAGCCCACAATAGATCTTTTCACGTCCCATCTAAATGCCAAATGCAACCGATACTGTTCCAGGGCGGGCATAGACACCTCCTCCCTCGGAGTTGCCTTCCTCATATCGTGGTCCGGGGAATTCACTTACCTGTTTCCTCCAATACCACTGCTTCTCAAAACTGTAACCAGAATCATTCAGTATCAAACAAACTCAATCCTCGTCGCTCCACGGTGGCCATGCCAGCCATGGTTTGCCCATCTATCAGAAATACTTCACTTACCTCCAATACCATCCCTCCTCTTGCAGAACGATGGGGCCCTTCTCTGTCCCGATGTCCGGTCTCTTCACCTGATGGCGTGGAGGCTAACCCCCAGTTCCGTGCGATCTTAGACCAAGCACGAAAGCCATCTACTTCCCGTCTCTATGACAGTAAATGGAAATCCTTTACTAAATTTACTCAATCGGAAGGACTTGTGCCAGTACCGGCATCTCTGTCCACCGTACTTACCTTTGTGTTACGCCTCTTCAATCTTGGACTGGCCCATTCCACTCTCAAAGTGTACATCTCAGCGATCGTAGCTCACCAACCTCCTCAATCTCGCTCCACCAAACTTTTCTCCCATCCTACAGTACAAAGATTCCTTAAAGGCCTGCAGAATATTCGGCCCCCTACACAGCACATCATACCACAATCCACTCGTATTGGAATCCCTTACCAAGCCACCATTTGAACCTATGAGAAGTTGCTCTCTTTAAAACCTGCCTTTCTCATGGCTATGACATCGGCCAGAAGGGCAAGCGAGCTAGCCGCGCTCCGGTCAGACCCTCCTTACCTCCAAATGCACCCTGACAAGGTTACCTTATACCTCGATATCTCTTTCCTACCAAACGTGGTATCAGAATTTCATATCAACCAGCCCATCGTGCTCCCAACATTATTTTCTTCTCTGTCCACGCCAATAGAGCGTAAACTCCACAACCTAGATGTCAGGAGAGCTCTTGCCTTCTAGCTTCACCATACCAAAGACATCAGGTGCTCCCCGCATCTTTTCTTGTGCTATCATGGACCCACTAAAGGTGATCCTGCTTCTCCACAATCCATATCCTGATGGATAGTTCAGCTCATACAGTTGGTTTATCAGATTGCTAATAAGCTTATACCGGATGGATTGAAGGTCCATTCTACTAGAGTGGTCTCCACTCCGACAGCTCTACTCAAGGGTATTCAGATACAGAATATCTGTAAAGCAGCTACCTGGTCTAACCCTCTGACGTTCGTGAGACATTACCATCTAGATATCAGTGACAAAAGTGATGTGGCCTTTGGAACGGCGATACTGTCATCCTTGATACCATGACGGCCCTCCTTCCGGTGAGTACAGCTTGCTAATCACCCATTTGTGTGCATTCACAGAGACCACTACGAAGAAAGTTAGGTTACCTACCTGTAACTTTGGTTCTTCTAGTGGTATTCTGTGAATTCACACATCCCTTCCTTCCTCCCCGCTATCCGTCACAATACCGTCAAAATACCATGCTTATCTTCACTCTATACCGTAATGGTGGACTCAGGGAACTGAAAGGAAGGTTGAGGAGGCAGAGCCTATACCATGCGGGGAGGGGGTAGGGGAGAAACTAAACTGTTTCTTTTTCAAAGCTCTAGAATCTTCCGGACGTCCTCCGCAGGCACAGGATTAACCCATTTGTGTGAATTCACAGAGTACCACTAGAAGAACCATAGTTACAGGTAGGTAACCTAACTTTCTCGCTCTCTTTATAACTTAAGATGTTTCCTGTTGACAGTCCTATTTTGACTTCTGGCTTCCAGTAACAAGGTTACACTGATCATTTCCAGCTCTGCCTTTACTTTTCTTTCCTCCAGCTCCTCTAATATTTCCAGCTATCTCTTCATGGGTATCAGATGACTGTCAAACCCCTAATCTACTAAAAGAACATTGTGACTAAACTTCACTTCTGCCCTCTCTTTCAAGTTAACACCATCATACAGTCTTATCTGCTGAAGTATGTGGATATGTGTTGGATTCTTTTCTTACTTTTTTTTTTGGTCTGGAATTACTGTTCTATCTATGGATTGTCAGTTTCCTTTGTATAATACTTATAAAACTCTCCCATTTTATCTCTGTACTCCAGAAGTTAGTCCTTGAGATGTGTGGAAGAGTACCAGTCATTAGGCATGAGATTTTCAGAATTCATAGCCTACAGCCCCCATAGGTTTGCAGGAATTCCCCCCAGCCACACTTCCTCGGAGTTTAGTCAAGAAATGGAAGTCCTTACAAGTGTTTTCAAGTTCCTAAGCTAATGAATTCAGAATCTGGCAGCCATTTTTCAAGTTCTTAAGCTAATGAATTCAGAATCTGGCAGTCACTTTTGTCCTGTGGAGAGGAAATGGATAAGCAAAACTAAGTTCCATGGGAGTTTGAAGGGATTATGCATCTGATAGTTTTTAAGAGGCTTTCTGTATAGAGTCTAATGGGCAGGGACTAGTACACAAATACTCTTGCACAGATGGACGTAACAAAGCTTTGCACTCCCTTCCAGTTGCTCCGTAATGGGCAGGGACTAGTACACAAATACTCCTGCACAGATGGACGTAACAAGGCTTTGCACTCCCTTCCAGTTGCTCCAGAGCTCACGGTCGACTAACCACTAGTCAGCCTGGCAGGGAGGTTCATCTTCCCTCCTTCTGCCAGAAGTGGCTAGTCAACCCCAAGCTCTGGAACAATTGGAAGGGAGTGCAAAGCTGCTGCAGCAGCAGATGGGTGAGTCCACCTGTGCGGGAGTATTCGTATACAAATACCCCCATCTCTAGCAGGGACTACCACACTTTTAAAACCTTGCACCTCCCTGAGATCTTAGCCCTGCCTGGTCATTCCCCCTGTCTTTTCCACATGATAAAAATGGCTGTCAGTGTGTGAATCCTTTAGAAAAATCTGTTGGGACTTCGTTTTCTTGATTAAAGATACAAGAAGTCTGGGTGTGGCAGAAGTCCTGCAGACTCGGGCTATCATCTATAGATTCTCGAAATTCCATGACTTACAGTCATTGTGCTCATCATAGCATTGTTTTGCTTTTTTGGTCTTTCTCTAGTTTATCTCAATAATTTTGTATTTGAGTTTTTAAATGTTTCTACACTTTGTGTGCTCTATATTATTTTCTTTTTCACTTTCTTTTAGTCTTTCTTCCTTCCCTCTTTAATTCTCTAGTTGCCTCATTTCTCTTTTAAATTGTATTTCTACTGACAGAGATTATTGCTTTTCTGTTTTGTTTTTTCTGTTTGTTTTAAATAGTGCCTATTGAGTTCTTCTGTGCTCAGTGTGCAATGTGTTTATAGAATAATCCTTTCAAGAAATAACTGAAATTTCACAGGAGTACTATCAGACAAATGGATAGACTGTATTAGGTAGAGGAAGTGCTACATGTGTACCTGTGACATTCACCTTTTGTGGCACCTACATGTTGTGGCCTCACAAAGGTTCCAGCCGTGTTTTCCTCTCACTGCCACCAGTGGATTACCTCAATCCCCAATATAAATGAAGTTTGTCAGAACACTTGTCTTGTGAATGCAAACAGGACTTATTTATTGAAGTGAAGCCAATTTAATAATCACAAAAGTTCTTCAGATGAACATTGTACAGAAGTAAATCATTAACAGGTCTCTCAATACATACTTTTCTCTTGCCATATAATTACCACCTTCTCTATCTATTTATCTTAACCAGCTTTATCTCTATTAGTATCTGTTCCTTATCTCTCTGACTAGCCAGCCTTTATCTCTATCTGGATCTCATCTCTGACTGTCTCTCTTTTTATCTAACTCTCTGCCTCTGACTATCTGACTCCCCCTCCTCTTGCCAAACCTTCATCTAGCAGCTGACTCCGCCTCTCCAATACTCTCATAGGCTCATGCAAATTAGATCATGACTATGAGTGGCATGAGTGACATGGGGTGATCCTCACGGTACCTTCCTTTGGTAATGGATTGGATGAGAGCCAACAAATGAAGGATTGGTCTGAATAAGATAGAGATACAGTGGTGCCTCGCTTAATGACGATAATCCGTTCCAGGAAAATCGCCGTTAAGCGAAAACATCGTAAAACGAAATTAAAAACCCAATTGAAATGCATTGAAACCCATTCAATGCATTCCAACGAGGTAATAACTCACCGTCCAGCAAAGATCCTCCATACGGTGGCCATTTTCGCTGCCTGTATAGTGAGGAATCTGTCCCTAAACACAGCGGGGAGCCATTTTAAGCACCTGGCAGCCATTTTGAAACCACCGATCAGCTGTTTAAAAAACATTGTTTTGCGAAGAATTGGTTCCCGAAGCAGTGAACCGATCATCGCAAAGCGAAAAAGCCCTATTTAGACCATTGTCGTATAGCGATTTCATCGTAATGCGGGGCAATAGTTAAGCGAGGCACCACTGTATCATTATTAGTAAGTTCATCATTCCCTGTGCATATAGTATCACGTGTTTTGATTATGGGTGTATTCACAAATTCATCACTGCTAGTCCAGACACTCTGTGGTGCAGAGCTCCTTTTAAGAGTTTAGGCTGGTATGGCAGGTATGATCCAACCGGGATAGGTATACCTTCTGTGATTCAGGTTCTAGTAACTTCCCATTTGTAGTACTGCCATGCATTGTGTGTAGGGCTACATTTTTTTAAAAGGACAGAAACATCGGCTGCTACAAGATATGGCTGCAAAATAGGATTGGGTGTTATGAAGATAGTACACCAATAGTTTTTTTGATTACAGTTGGCTATGTTCTTCTGAGGGGGCCCAGTTCAGTATACAGGTACAGGCTTTGAATAAGGGTATCATCATCAAAGGGGAAATATTTTTGTCTAGGGCAGGGACAGCTGTTGGACTGGGACGGGGTGTCTCCAAAATTTTGGGATGTTGCTCCAAACCCTGATCATGAACTGTCTTCATTTTAGGGATCAACTCCTGGAGCTAAAGTGACAAAGAAAGGCTTTAAACTTTTTGTTTGTCTATTTGTATGAAATCATGAAAAAGGAAATTAATAGAGGCAGTCCTATTGGCAGAAAATGGATCTGAGTGCATGTTTTGTGTTACATGAGTATGCATTTGCATTTGTATTGGGAAGGAGGGAATGTTAGGTGTTTAACAGAGGAAGGAGAAGGAGAGTGGTGACAAGGGGATGGACAAGGGGCTCATTGTAGTAGCGAGGAGGGCCTTCTCTCTTGCTGCCCCCAGACTCTGGAACTCCCTCCCACAGGAAGCTAGGCTGGCCCCATCTTTTTTGTCCTTTCACAGGCAAAGACCTTTCTCTTCAGGCTCTTATAAATATATAAATTATAAATATATAAATAAATTTTATATATATTTATAAAAACAGTACATACTGTTTTTAGCTTTTAAACATTGTCTTTCTAATGTCAGCTGCCTTGGGTTCTTTTTAAGGGGAAAGATGGGATAAAAATATTTTAAATGCATAAATAAATAAGGGATGGATCTGAGATATGGGGTGCCATGCCCCACATAGAACACCTCTGAGGGGTTGATGGCAGCTTCAGTGCACCACATATCAAAAGCTTTGCTTTAAACTTTAAAACCCTTTAAAGTTTAAA